GGTCTGAAACCCTAATATTATGGCACAGTGTTTGTTCTGTCAATCCAGGATTCGTCTAATGGGCTAGGATTTATCCATTTTGAGATGCACTGTAATCTGTTGGCCATGAAGTAGTGATAGAAGTTGGGAAGATCTAGTCCTCCCCTATCTTTAGTTTTCTGTAGTGTTTTTAGACTAATAGGTGGGGTTTTATTTTTCTAAAGGAATTCAGAGATGAAAGAATCCAGGGATCTAAATCAATCAGGTGGAGGTTTATTTGGTATCATTGAGAATAAATAATTTATTCTGGGTARTACCATCATTTTAATTGAAGCAACTCTTCCYATAAGTGATATGGGTAAAGATTTCCATCTAGTTAGATCATCGTCAATTTTCTTTAAAAGCGGGATGTGGTTTAATTTTATTAAGTTTTCCAATCTTTGAGAAATATTAATACCCAGATATTTAATATTGGCTGATTGCAGTGGTGTATTAAGAGAACTGTTAAGAACACAGTTTATTGGAAAAACTGTCGGTTTTAACCTGTTCATGGAGTAGTCAGAAATTCTTGAAAAGGAATTTATTAAATCAATAACCTGAGATAGAGAGCTTTCTGAATGTTGAATAAAAAGTAAGACATCATCGGCATAACGACTAATTTTATGTTCAATGTTCTTACATTGTATTCCTTTAATATCTGCAGTTTGCCTGATTGCAGCCACTAAAGGTTCAATAAAGATAGCAAACAGTGAAGGGGACAGTGGACATCCCTGCCTGGTGCCTCTCTGAAGATAAAAACTAGAAGATAGTAAGTTATTTGTTCTGACACATGCTGTTGGTGAGCTATATAATATTTTTAACCAATTAATAAAATAATTCCCAAAACCAAATTTATGCAAGGTTGCCAATAAGAATTTCCAGTTTACTCTATCAAACGCTTTTTCTGCATCTAAAGACAGAATAGCCAATCCAATGTTTCTAAAGTGAGAATAATCTATTAAATTAAATAATCTGTGTGAATTTGTAGATGAATGCCTTCCTTTTATAAAACCAGTTTGGTCAGGATGAATTTTTAAAGGAGTTATCTTCTCCAATCTTTTGGAGAGGGCCTTACAGATTATTTTAAGAATGACATTGATAAGAGAGTCTTATATTGTGTGCTTTGAATTTAGTTTTATGTTTTGATTTTCCTCCCCTGTATGAAGAGAAAGAGAGGAGAGTTCTTTGAATAAATGGAGACAAGTTCCCGTGCTCCAAAGTTATTTAAGTCTGTGGTTCTCTCAGTGTGCAGGTTTCCAGCCTTCAAAGCTCACACGTTACAGTGAGTACTAATTGAAGGAGTTAAAAAAATTATCCTTTTTGTTCGAGCATCACTTTTCTGTTTCTCTGTCAGGAGGTAAGTAAGGATTTTATTTTTTGTAGGTAAATATATGTTTAACTGCCTTTCAGCCCTCGCTTTAAAACCAGTCAGGTCATCTGTCGCAGTTCTGTTATGCTCGTGAACACAGTGTTACAGGGGGGAAATGCTGCAAGGTGCTTTTAGAAATATTATATA